AGATGTCCAGGAACGATTTGTTGTTTGTGTGTGTGTGTGTGTGCATGTGTGTGTGTTTTTTTTTTTTTTGATTTTGCAAGGTCATCACTTACATCCTCGGCATTGGGGACCGTCACCTTGACAATCTCATGGCTCGGCATAGGAAGACCTGAGTGAAGTCATGGTTCAATGAAATGGAGGTCACCAAGGACGGCAAGCTCTTCCATATCGACTTTGGCTTCATCTTGGGTGCCTGGCCTTCACCCAGGAAGCATGCAGCGAGCATCTGAAGTGTGCCAAGGCAAAGATCCCAAGCCATTCCCGCCTCCCATGCGCATCTGCAAGGCGGGGCAAAAAACAAACCGAAATCATTGGACAAACTGCAACAACACACTGCATGTCCCAAATGATTCCTCCTGCCTTCAATAGCCAGGAGATGGTTGAAGGCTGGCCGGCATTGTGCAGGTATCTAGTACATCACCTTTCTCACCTGGCAGGGATGGGTGGTAACCCTTCGCCTGGGTACCAGTCCTTCAAGTCCAAGTGCTGCAGGAAACTCAGTGCTTCAGCATACTGCAATAGCTACGGGCTTTTGAGGACCCTGCTGCAGCTCTTTAGGGTAGACCATGTGGAGGGGATGTTGTCATCAGCAACTACCCAGTAAAGGTCAGGCCTTCAAAATCCTCCGACGGCACTCCAAGCTGATCATCAACCTCCTGTACCTGATGACGGATTCTGGCATCAAGGCAAAGATTTGGGAGCCGAGCTTCACGCCTGCGGAGTGAGGCTAGGAGGTTTGTGCGGAAATTGCCGGGATCAGGACATCTGCAGCGATCCCCAGTTCGCCATCCTCAAAGTGGAGCAGAAATTCCAGGTGCCCAGAAGTTGGGCAACAAACGGTCGGCGCAAATGCCTTTGAGTACAGGCTTTGATGGACGATGAGCAGGCAGAGGAGCGAGGATCCCAGCATCATCCAGCATCCATTGCATCCACGGTATCGTTCTGAGCTACAGTTGAAGCTGTGGCACACCAAGGCACTTCCTGAATCTCATAGATGAGTCGGTGGGTGCGCTCAGATCTCAGCTTGCAGAGCATTGCAGGGCCAGGCATTAAGCTGTCCCGAATCTGAAGGGCGCACTTTGAGGCTCATGCCTGTACTGCTGGAGATTGGCCACAAGATCTCCATCGCCATGCAGTGAGGAATGGTAGGAGCCTTCCGCATCTCCTTGAAGAGACAATGTCTTATCTTGACTGCAGCTTCAGCCTGTGCGGCGCAGACTGCTGCAGCGTTGTACAAAGAATCAGACGGCAAATAGATCCATGCCTGCGGACAGTTTTGCTAGAACTCCTGTTGTCTGCCAGCTGTGTTCAGAAGTAGTTGAGAATCTTCTGAGAGCAAAACTGTTCCCTCACAGCATGGAGCCCTTGCCCTTCCGGCTAAAACCTGCCCCAGCTGCAGCGCTGGCTTTGGCTGAGTATGATGCGGATCTCGCAATTTCATCCAGGCCATTGACAGCCAGGCGGAGGAGGACTTCCGGAAGGCTTGTTGGCCTGCTGGGATGAGCAGAGTTGAGCTCTTGAAAGAAGTTTGAGCTCGCCCAGAGCTTGAGCTTGGATTTGCTGGGAGGCAGTCCTGCAACTGCTGATAACTGGCGGTGGCTGGCCAGACTTCAAGCAGCGGCTGCGTCATGTTCTCGAGGGCCGGTGCCAGGCGTCAGTGACGTTCAGTGAACTTGTATGGGGGCTTCCTTTCGGCCAAGCTGCCAGGCAAAGAATGCTTGCGCCGAAGGCCCAAAGCCGCTTGAGTTGGAGGTGAGCCCTTTTCGAGTTCGTCTCCAGGCGGGGGCTCTGCCTGCGTTCCGCATGAAGTGCAGGTGGATCCGCGCTTCACGTCTCCAAGAGCCTGCAGCAGCGGGGCAGTGCACCAGGCTGTTCCTGGCCAATTTCTTCCACCCCTTTCAGTCAAGTTCTGCGGGACAGGCCCTGCTTGGCCTGGGCGAAATGACGAGAATTCCTTTGTTTAGGGTGAGGGGCTCAGTTGGACGAGAGCGTTACGAATACTTCGAGATCTCTCCTAAGAGGCCAGAGCAGATCTCTATCGCTCTGAGGGCCCCTCTGCGGGCAACTCAGTGCAGCTTCTAGATCCAAAATCAAAGAGCGTTGTAAGACTCATCGCCAGGTCGTGCTGAGTAATGCTAGCATCACGCAGTCAAGAGATTGTTGCCGACTCAGAACAGCCCATGGCACGCAAGCTCGGCTGCAGCGAGAGCTTTGTTGGAGCCCTGCATGCCATGTTTGCGCGAGGCTTCGCATTTCGTGGAGCCAACAGCAGCCTTGCACTGCGGTTGGCAGACCATGGCTAAAAGCCCAGCAAGCCCAGCTTGAAGAGGTTCTGGCATCTTATGGCTTTCGGACTTGGGTCTGGTAACTGGCACACTCTCAGGTTTGAACGGAGTTCGAGCTCGCCAGCTTGTGATCGAGCAGGCTTGGCAGGTGGACAAACATCAACTCTCGATATCTCACCCCTAGGCCGAAGCGGCTTGTGAACCTGCCGAAGGGTGAACGAGTCAACGATGGTTTTTAGTTTTAAAACGACGCATGTTCTTTGCTAACTCTGACATCTTGCATATGCGGAGTTCCCAAAATTAGGGTCCCATTTTGGTATCGCTGAATTTTCGGTGCCGTGATATAATTGATAGCCAAACGCGGCCCATTATTCTGAGAGTAACCCCTATGGTTTTTCAATATCCTTAGATGCGGCCTTCATGGTTTTGAGAGAGCTCTGTAACGGCTTTCGAACGTTGGGAGTCGCTTCTTTTTTTGTCCTTCTAGTCGATTGGCTTCAGTGGTTTTAGGCTCCGTGCTATACGCGCGTTTAACGTCGTACACGGTTCTGCAGTGTCATGTTGTGAAGCTTGATGGCTGAGTACTACTGTTATTGTTGCTCACTACCCAAAACATGAGTCAGCTTGTCATGGATGAAAGGGCCATCTGAGCCTCACAGAGGTTCGCGGCGCGGCATTGCGTGGCACGGTTGGCCTGGATAGGTAGGACAAGATGTTTGCAGCACAAGAATGTGCGTCATGTTGAGATGTCAAGTCCATCCTTCTATACTCTGCATGTTACCGCACACCGCGGCGAGCTGGGCAAGCTCCATAAGAAGGATGAATTCGCTGGAGTCTTTGTCTTCTGACGGCCTTGTGATGATTTATAAGCTAGGCGTTGCTTCTAACAGTAATTCACCAGGCTTCTTTAGAACCCACGCCCTCCCAAAAACATACTGCTATTTGCAGGCCCCCACACCCAACACCCTATGACATAATGCTATTCTAAGGCCTGCAGCCCAAAACATACTGCTATCTGAAGGCCCCTGCACCCAAAAACATACAGCTATTTGAAGGCCCCCGCAGTCAAAAACATACTGCTAATCCAAGGCCCGAAAGGATTCCTAGGCCGCCCAAAAACATCTGCCATTTCCAGGAGTAGCAGATGGTTTTTGGTCCACAAAATGGCAGATGTTTTTGGTTATCCCTGAAGCTCTGGTCCAAAAACACTTGCTATTTCCTGACCCAAAAACAGCTGCTATCCTGCCTGATAGCAGATGGTTTTGGGCCTCCCGAAGTCCCCTGAAGTTGAGAAATTCACAGATGGAAGTTGACGAAATAGCAGATGGAAATTGAGAAAGTAATTTCTTGAGAAAATAACAGATGGAAGCTGACCAAAACAAAAACAAAAAAACAGATGGAAATTGAGAAAGTAATTTCTTGAATAAATAACACATGGAAGTTGAGGAATAGCACATGGAAGTTGAGAGAACAGTGGATGGACGTTGAGAAAATAACAGATGGAAGCTGACAAAATAGCAGATGGAAATTGAGAAAGTAATTTCTTGCAAAAAATAGCAGATGGAAGTTGAGAAAATAGCACATGGAAGTTGAGAGAACAGCGGATTGACGTTGAGAAAACACCAGATGGAAGTTGATAAGAATCGCAGATGTAAGTTGAGAGAAGAGCAGATGGAAGTTGAGAAAACAACCGATGGAAGTTGAGAAGAAAAACAGATGGAAGTTGTGTCCACAAGCTGTAAAGACCTACAGTCACGGTCTGAGGTAGCGCCAAATGTATAAGTGCTTTCACTTGGCTTCCTGGCAGCCTGCTCGCTGGGCGGCGCTGCGGCCGCGTTCGGCGCCGCGGCGCTTTGCCGTTTTCGGGCTGCCAGGCTCGGTGAGTTCGAAGGCGCCATGCCAAGCCTGCTCTTCCCGAAGCTGCGTTGGATGCCGAAGCTGCCAGCTGTGTTATGTCGGATGTAGCTGCAGGCAGGAGAGACTGCGTGCGCCCTCTGTGCTTCATTTCTTCCCGCTTGCGTTGACACACGTCGCAAATTCGGAAGCTGCAGGTATACGGAGCATATGGGTAGCTTTGAATATGCTGCCGCAGGGCCGGCTGCACAGGCTCTCATCCGATCGTTCCATGAATGAAGTCCTTCTTCGCGTGTATTTGATGCTGGAGGCGTTTGACCTGCCACCAGCGCTGGTGAAGGGACTACGCCTGGTCTTCGCAGGAGCGCAGGGCTGCACTCTCAGGATTAGCGGCTTTTGCTTCCAAAACTACACGAACTTGCCGAATCCTCAGTCCAAGTTGCATGCCTCAGAGTGCCATGACGAGATGCAGGACCCGAGTGGGGCGAGAACTACGTCTGCCTGTATCGCGTGAAAGTGTTTGAGGCGACGCGTTCACTTTACCCTGCCACGGTGCACACATATGACCTCAACATAGATGCTCTTGCCAGGAAAGTGGCACAGTTTGCAGTGGGCATCGAACCGCCGCTGTTCTGCCTAGGCTGGGCACAACTAAGTGGGGGTCTAATGTTAAAGCTGAACCGTTGGAACTCGGCAGTGGAGGTCAATGTTTGGTGCTGTAGGCGTGGAATCGGGGGAGCACTCGGGAAGGAGCGGCTGAAAAGATTGAAATCCCGGGCCTGCAACCTGTGGCAACTGCAACGACAAGCAAAATCTCGCTTCCGTGAGTGACGCCAGGTTCATGTCCCAATACAATTTGAAAGGACGTAGAGTTGCAGATTCCAGGGTTGTAACTGCTCTGCTTCTGCATGCCCATGATGGGTTCTTTAAGCTTTAGAGTTCGGGGTCCCTTGAGGGTTTCGGCTCCATCAGGGTTTAGCTTAGCCCTTGGTGTCCTTTGGGTTTTTAGGGCTTGGGGCTCTTCAGGGATTACAATGCTTTAGGGTTTAGGGTTTGAAGTTTGGGCTTCCTTATGTTTTTGGGATAGTTTAGTTTAGGGATTCGGCGCTGGCTGCTGAGGGCTTAGGCCTTGGGGTTCTCTAGGGTTTAGGTTTCGGGGACCTTCGGGATTCATTTTTTAAGTTTTAGGGTTGGTATTTTTGTCCTGGGGTTTCTTGTGAGTTCTTTAGGGTTGATTGGGGTCCTTTGGGGCTAGGGCTTTGGCTTCTTTGGGAATTACAGACCTGTAGGCTATTGTTGGGTTACGGGTTAATTAAGGGCTCTGCAATGTTCTTTAGGGCTTGAAGCTTTAGGCCTTTTACAATTTGGGTTTGGGGCTGTGAAGGGTTTAGGGCGTGGGGTTCTTCAGGGATTACTGTCTTTTAGGGTTTAGGGTTAGGTTTTTGGGTTCTTTTAGCTCCGGTTGTTTTACGGGTTAGGGTTGATTAGGGTTTGGTCCTTGGTCTGTCTTTCAGGGTAAGGGATTCTTTTGGGATTAAGCCTTGAGGTTCTTCAGAGGTCAGGGTAAAGGGTCCTTCTGATTCAAGGCTTGGGGCTCTCAGGAGGATGATGGTGTTCTTGTTCAGATTACATCAGGTCAGGCGTGTTTAGCTCGCTATCTAGTTCGTAAGAGTTCGTTGGTTTAGGGTTTGGGGCGGTTCGGGGTTCTTTAGCGTATGGGGTCCTTCAAGGTTTGGTCTTTGGGGTTGTTTGGAGTTATCTAGGGTGTAGGGTTTGGGCCCTTCAGGGATTCTGGTGCTTTAGGGTTTGGAGCTTTGGGTTCTTCAAGGTTGGCTTTGGCTTGGGGCTCTTTCGAGATCTTGGCTAGAGGTTCTGTGGTCTTTTGGATTTATGGTTCTTCAGGGGTTTAGAGTGGGGTGTTTCAGTGGTGGGAGTTCTTTAGGGTTTAGGGTTTGGTGTGGAATCCTCTGTCTATTGGTGCGTTTATGTGCGTATAAATTCTTGTCATTACATGCCCATGGGGGACAGGCTGCGAGCAGCTGCCGACTGAGATGCCGAATTTGAGAGTTCATTTAATGTCGCCACTACCACTACTTTACCATGAGTTGATCGTACAGCAGGTGGTCTGTACCGTGGCTTTTGATGTTTCGTGTTGAACCTCGTACTGCTCAGAAGTGAGCCAGTGGCGCTGCATGCTTTTTCTGCATTCGTGTAGTAGGAATGCGAAGCCAAATGCTAGAAGGCTCTCCACTGTGTTTTGCCGTGGTATACTTGCGTTATCGCGATTTCACGATACTTGTGGATACTAGGCTCTCATGCGCTCAGAAGTCGGAGGAGTCCAGCTGGAGTACCATGCATTTGGATTAATGTGAAGGCAGCTTGCATGGGGACCGGCAGAGCCGCGCCGCAAGGCAACACAGCTTGAGCACACGCTGTCACGGAGCAATAAAAAGACCTGGCTTGGAAGTGGGCTGGATTCTTATCCAACTGTATACTTGATCGAGATGTAGACTTACTGTTGTTCCGTTTCAAACTAGTGCCTCCATTAACTATTGATTGGCCAGATCGTCAGGCTGGACACTTTAACGACGAGCACATCGAGTCAGCTAACGCAAAATTCTCTGCTGGGCGCAAGCCAGGCTCGAGCGTTGCGAGCCAATGGCACCTGATAGCGAACCCGTTTCACTCCATGTCCTCGCCTCGTGGCCTAGCGCACAAATTCCTGCTTGGTATCTGCGCTAGCTGGGGAACGCTGAGCATTGTCGAAGCTTCGCAGGTTGTGGCAGAATCTTGTCGGCAAATATCTGCTATCTCATTGACCTAGGTGTAGCTGTCCCTGTATTGGTCACGTGGGAACCCACTGTTTTTACCTTGCTGCCACGATCAGGAGTCACGCTCCGAGACTTTCCTGAGCAGCAAGGAGCTGCCAGTGAACATCCTGAGTTTTTTGCAATGGAACATACACAATGAGTGCTTCCTGTCGTGTCAAGAAACGAAAGTTCCTGGTCACTGTGATTCCTCTTACCCACGTTGCAGGGACAAGGCAGTTGCGCAATTGAAGAACATGCTCGGTGAAGGTGACGGTGCATTGGATTTTGCAGGCATAGAGCAGCTTGCAAGCGAAGAGCTTACAGAGAATGGCATTGATGCAGATTGGGGTCAGCTCTACCACACTTGCGGAGGTGAGCATGGCTTCGGGGCTGCACCCTTTGATATCGCTACGCTCCTGTACCGCAAGTCGAGATGGGAAGTCAAGCAGATGGGTGGTACGTACTTGCAACCCTTCAGTGGATGCATGGAGAGAAGCGGTGGTGGCGAAGGTCCCACAAACTACAGGGTCTTCCTGGGACAGGCTTTCGTTCACAAGCGGACTGGTTTCGAAATCATTGTGGTCGTTGCACACTTCCCGCACATAAAAAGCTACCAGCGAGAGATCCAAGCACTGTCATCTGCTCTGAGTTCATTTCGTGTAACTTCTGGCATAGACCAGGCGCACATCATGGGAAACATGTGTAGCATTCGCCTGGATAAATTCACATGTGAAGTTTTTTTGGGTGCATTTTGCTATTGCAGCATCCCTAAGGCTTGTTTATTTGACCAGCCCAGCAAACCTACATCAGATTGCAAAGCAACGCCGAACACAAACACCCGAAGTCCTAGGCCTCAAAGTAAGAATCTGAAAGGCCAAGCCGGCAAAGCACTGCAAGTCCCACACATCAAAGGGTTAGACAAAATCGCAACTAACCCGAAAGGGTCCAACAGTCAGTGACCCTCAATCTCAACAAATCCAAAACCCCAAACCACCGAAACCTTTTAAAGCAACGTTTAAAGACTTAAAAACACCTCAAGATCCCCAAGCCTTATGAATGAGTGTAGGAAGGGATGCTCGCACCAACCGCTGATTTCCCTTCTAAACTAGAACGGCCAGAGTGATGGGTCGAACCGCTGGCTCTGGAAAACGTAGGTGACCCCGCACCTAGCAGCCTATTTTCGTAGTCGGAGTCGTGATTGTATTCAAAGTTGAGTGGCAGTGTTTGCGGCAGCAGCCGCAGAGCAGCAGGAGGAGGCGGAGGAGGAGTGGAGGAGTAGTAGAAGTAGTAGAAGTAGTAGCAGCAGCAGTAGTAGTGGTTCCCATCTCGATGTAATCCCTCCATAAACGGATGGTTTGTGCACTTTGCCTTGCTGAGCCTCCAGCATATCCGTTGAGTCGCCACTATGACCTGCAGGTCAGATCTCAAGCTGCTGATCCTTCAGAAAGCAAAATGCACTTGTATCTGTTGTAGTGGTAGTTTGCCTCGGAACCTTTTGCTAGGGCTCTGCTCATCCATCCTTCCTTGCAGAAATGGGGAGGTTGTCTTGATCGCGGACACGAACCAGCAAAAGGCAGACAGTGAGATCATGGCAGACATCTATCCGGAAGCGGCAGGAGTCGTTGGCAGCACGCCTCGAACAACTTGCTGCTACCCGATATATCTGCATGATTTTGATCGAATTATTGCTGCGGGCTTCCGGAGTCAGGAGGCCTCAATGACAACGGTCTTTCCCTTTGGGATCGGAGATAACCATATGCCTCCAGACTGGGCAATTGTAAACATGCATGATCCCGTGATTGCCGAGTTCTCTCTAGGAGGCGGTTTGAGCTTCAAACGCTCGCAGAGATCCGCTGCAGCTCGAGGAATATGGCAGACATGGTTAGCCGGTTGCCTGCTTTTCCTGTCCTTCATGCATCTTCAGGGCTGAGCTCGCAGTCTGAGCTGGGTGCCGGATGCAAACACATTGAGTTGAGACATTGCCTTGTGTGCAGGCCTAGTTTAAGATTATGCGTGCAGCCCACCGATCAATCTTATCGCAGTGTCCCATCACAGTTCTTGAGAGAATGAAGGGCTAGCACGTGAGCTGGATCCAGTGCAGGGAGTAGCGCTTTTGCGTAGCCTTTGTCGGTAAGACACTGACGCCATTCATGGGCTTGAGGCTCTGTAGAATCCTGATTCTCACATGAAGCACGCAGAGGCTCCAGAAGGAGGACGTGCAAAAGTGCGTTTTCGACTGTACGTACTACGTACATGTTGCAGTTTGGGCAAGCTTTCTTCTGTCAGCCTTTGGTCAACAAAAGCTGTGATCGAATGTGGTTTGTGTCTCGCAGCTTTGCCGGGCTCGGGCTTCGCCTAGACTGAGAGGGCGGAGGCCACACACCCAGAGCCAGCGCCTTGTGTGGCCGCAAGGGTCCTCTGCAGACCTGGTCGCGCTGAGGCATGTTGCAGGTGCCTGCGGCTGCTCCTGCTTACCAACAGCCACAAGCGCAGCCGAGCCCCAAGGGCGGCCAGATGGATCTTGGCAGATGGGTTTGAGTCAGCCTGGCCTGAGGCAGTTTGCGCTCCCGACCCCTCCGCAGTGGCAGGCACGCTGGGACTGTTGTCTGCTTAGGTGCTGACGACGCTTCCTGCAACTTTGACCCAGGCGCCTCCACTGCCGACAGCAGATGCCGCGCGCT